GCCTTTATTTTATTTTTTGTTATCTAACTGGAGGATACTTTTCCATTGATTTTAGAGAGAGTGGGAGGGGAGAGACAGGGAGAGAGAAACATCGATGAGGAAGACATCGACTGGTTGCCCTCCCGCACATGTCCGGACTTGGGCTGGGGATGGAGCCTGGTGCCCTTGACTGGAATTGAATCCGAGGCCCTTCAGTCCATGGGCCAACACTTTATCCACTGAGCCAAACCGGCTAGAACTGGAAAGTGCCTTTAAAAAATAAAAGCAAAAGGAAATTTTTTTCCAGGCTCATAGCTCCCCTCTCCCACACACGTGCTAATAATTCCAGGTATAGCTGTATCCAGAAACTACACTATGTAACTAGACAGCCATTCATTCTGCTTTATCTCACAGTTCTGCTCTCCTGGGAATCAGCATCATTCCCATGGCATCCCTCAGCAGCTACAGGCTTAACTGAGCCCAGAGAAAGCAATCCCAGAGGAAAGTCCTGCGGTCCCAACTCACTAACTCCTAGAGGAGGGAGATGCTCTGATCTGCATGGCAGGCCTGAGATGAAAGCCTACTGCTGGAGCTGGAGATAGGGCCTCTCCAGCACAGGCGTAACACGGGAATGGGCCGTGGGTGAGGGCTGGTTCCTCAGAGAAAACTCGGGCACCATTACCACCCTATGGGGAATGGATGCCAGGCAGACAGCCATGAAGAGTCCCACCATCGCTTCCTTTTCATGAATAGATAAGGAATAACAACATTTGCAGTGGCTCCTTCCCATTCCCAAGCTGCTCCCTATCTAAAGGGGCCCAGCTGGAGGAATGGCAGCCCCAGGGCTCCACTCAGTCCCCAACACAGTCAACTTGCATTTCTCATCCTCACAACAGTCTGCAGAGGCTGAGAGCCATAACCTAACTTGCCCAGTGGTAACAAGGCGGTGCAGATAGGCATGCAAATCTTGGCATGGACCCTCTTACTGTAGTCATGCTGGTTAATAGACCAATTAGTAAAGAAGAGCTCAGAAATGATCATGTTTCTTCCCAATTCCAAGCCCTCGTGTCTTTGTATTTCCTGTAGGATGAAGTAAAATCTTTTCATGTCATCCAGTGAACCTGAGCCTTCTCCACCTCCTCCCCGACCTTGTCCCACTTTGCTTCCTGTGTCTAGCCATAGCTGAATGAATAATACATGTTCCCAGAGCACACTCTGAACTCCCAGGCTACAGTGCTTACTCCTGCTGATTCCTTCCATGAACTGGTTTACCACCCTCTTCCCATCTGATAATAAGCTGCTGTCACCCCTTCCCCTTTCCTTTCCTCAGTTTTGAGCCAGGAATACCTTCCTTGACTTTTCCTCACACAAGTCTAGTTCAATGCCCCACTCAGAGATTCCCTTATCATCTTGTGTATCACCTTCTTATAGGACACACCATTTTATAATTATTTGGTATCTTATTCCTACCCTTGAACTGTAAAAGCTCCTTGAGGCTAATACTGTTTCTTTCAACTCTAGACCTAGCACAGATATGTGATACAGACTGAGGATTATGCTTACTAAGGGAATACTTTGAAGACCAAAATTTCACTTAATTGGTGACCTTTCAACCTTTCATAAATTCTTCTGCTTTTTGTTTTCTATTTATCTCATTTGTTTATTTCTTTTCCCTGCTTTTCTTTTGGATTGAGTATTTCGTAGTATCCCATTTATTTCCTCTGCAGGCTTTTTAGCTTTATTCTTTGTCCATGTTGTGTGTTTTTTTTATTGGTAATCTCTAGAAGTTATAATATACATCCTTAATGTATCACCCTGTACTCTTGAATTAATTTTATGCCATTTTATATATGTCAGAACTTGTAAAAGTTCTAATGTTAGAACTTACCAAAATATACTTCATTTACCCACCTCTTATATTTATATATGATATCAGCCCACAATACATTAAGCAACAATTTTTCAAAGAAATAAGAAACAAAAAGTCTATTGCTAGTATGTACCCCCATATTTACCTTTTCTAGCTCTCTTTATTCCTTTGTGTACTAGTAGATCCAAGTCTCCATCTGGTATCATTTCCCTTCAGCCTAAGAAACTTTATTTACTATTCTTGTAGTGCAGGTCTATTGGTAATAAATTCTCTCAACTTTTTGTTGATCCTCTTTAAAGGATATTTTTGCTGAGATGTTGAATTCTAGTTCAGTGGGTACTTTTTCTTTCAGGACTTTAAATATGTCATCCCAGTGTCTTCTGGTTTGCATTTTTTAATATGAAGGTGGAGATCATTTTTATTGATATTCCCCTTATATGTATACTCTGTTCAGCTCACAGCCTCCCAGTAATTGTTCTCTGCTAAGCCTCAGTCCCCTGTGCATAAGCAGCTTTGTATTTGACCAAAGACTCAGTGGGATTCATAGGCAGATCTTTTGGGGGGTTCTGCTCTTCATAGTTTTTTTCTCACTTCCTGCCCTCTAAACTCCAGCCCCGTAGCAGTTCTGAATTCTAATTTCTGTTTTCTTTGCCCAGCAAGACTGCTGCTGTCTCCTTGGGCTCTATGTCCTTGTGCCATGGACTGAAAAATGCTCCCAGGTAGAAATCTGGTTTGTTTTGGTGCTCATCTCATTTGTTTCCATGTGTCAGGATTCAAAACCCTGTGTTGTTTCTGTACAGTGTCTAAAAACAGCTGTTTAGTTTACTTTGCCCAACAGTATGATTGTTTGTGGTAGGGATATAAGTCCCCCTTGTCCGTGGCTGTCAGCTGACAGTAACACCTATAGCAGCACTTCTCCCAATAGAACACTGCCAAGATTATGGAGTCATTCTTGGTTCCTCTCTTTCTCTGTCACATCCAAAGTGACAGCACATATTGTTGGCTGTACCTTCAAACTACTACATCTAGAATCCAGCTACTTCTCAAAATCTCCAGTGCCACCAGCTGGGACGGTCCAGGCCAGGATGGGAACTATTGCAACAGCCTCCCAACACCTCCTTGCTTCTGCCCTGACTTTAGAGTCTCTTCTTCATATAGCACTCCTAGTGATTCCATTAAAGTGTAACTGAGAAAATGAACCTGGTCCAGTGGCATCTCATCTCTCTCAGGGTGTACGTCAGAGCCACTCCTGATTGGCCTGATTTTCCTCTGGATCTCTCCTACTCCCTCCCCAGCTCTGCCCCCCACCAGTCTCCTACTTGTCCTCAACCAGCCCCCAGGCTCCAGCCTCAGGGCTGTGGCACTTGCTCCTCTATCCAAGACTCTCTCTTCCCAAGTATCGCCAAGCCTCCTTCCCTCCCTTCCTTTAGGTCTTGGCTCAAAGTTCTCCCCCCAACCCCCCGCACCCCTCGCCTTTTGTGAGGACGGCCTAACACCCTGCTTAAAATTGCAGCTTCCCTTCTAATCCAGTTGTTTTGTTCTCTAAAACTTACCACCATCTCACCTCATCCATTTTCCTATTTGTTTGCTGCCTGTCTCCCCTCTCTAGAATGTAAGCTTCATGAGAGCAAGAGTTTGTGACTGTTTTGTTTACCATTGTCCTCATCCCTGTTGTGTTCCCAGGCACACAATAAATGTTTGCTGAATGGGAGGGAGGGAGGGAGGGCAAACATTGTTTTCATTGGAAGAAGGAAAACTAACTCCTTTTCTGGGAGATGGAGGGCAAACATAGACTATGGCAGGGAAAACGTGGAAATCTTATGAAACTTTATGCACTTACTTGGCACAGCGCACCCAGTGTGTATGTCGGCACAAGGAATATAAGAAGCGCTGGCGATACATGTTCCATACTTTGATGGATTTGTCTTCAGAAGCTGTAGCTAGATACTGCCCATCAGCAGAAAAGTCCACACTTCGAACTGGAGCTGTATGAGCTTTAAATTCAGAGGACTTCCCTCTCCTGGAAAGAAACAGTTCAATATTTACAACATTTGATTTAAGTATAATCAATAGCTAACCAGTATATAGACTCTGAAACATAAAACAGCTTAACTCTTGTAAAACTAACACCAGTATGAAAAGGTTGTGTTGTACTGTATGCACTCTTCATCAATACTGTTTCAAGCTGCTTTTGTCAACTGAGGTCACAACTGTTACTTAATAAGAGAGACCCTGGAAATGCATTTGCTCTTTATGTTTTCATTGGAAGCTAGGAAAATAATATTTTAAACAAATCTCTACCGTGCCTTTTAAGTTCCTGCCATTCCACTGTTCCACTAAAAATAGCAATATATAGTTTAAAGAACCTGAACCCTCGAAAAGCTAATGATTGATGAAATGAATAGCACCAAGGCAATGTTTTAAAACTGGGGTCACAAGTCTGGGGAGGGGGAGATTTGCCTCCAACTTTCCTGTTTCCACCACCAGCAATGAGAACTAAGATCTGGGTGGATGTAAGGCTTGGCTGGCCTCAGGCCCAGTCTTACCTCAGAAGCAAAACAAAGAATAAATGGTAACAACATAGCACTTCCGTTCTCAACACCTTGAAATTTCAGGTGCTATTTTTTTTTTCTTGGCTAGGGTATGAAAAACGGATGGAGAAAATAACACGTGGCATTTAAGAAGCAGGAAAAAAATGTTAAAACAGCTCAGAGCAGGCGAGTAGATAGCCCTGGAGTTACAGGTGACATTTGGGAAATACTACTCTGTGCCGGAGTTCCGAAGTTGCCGAGGCACTTTCACTTTACACCACATCCAAACTTAGTCATTTTTCCATTATAAAGTCATATCTGTACAGGTGATACCTTAGAAGGATAATCACCATAACTGTTTGTGAAAGATCAGGAACAGAATTTGCAGAAGTCTGGAAGTCACATTCAGTGCCACCCACTGCCTCTCCTCCCACACCCAGTAGGTCCACACACCTACTGAGTGATAGTGCTATCACTGTCACTGCCCAAGTATCTTTTGAATCCCTCCTCCTCTTTCGGTCCCAGCTATGCTTGCTTTAAGGTTGATATGCCCTCAATATCCTTCACCTTGATTATTGCAAAAGCCTCTTAGCTGGTCTCCCTGCTCTAATCTTTTATCCCCCTCCAGTCACCTACACACTGTACTTACTACCTTGTTAACTCCAAGCATGTACTAGTAGATCCCAGTGTCAATGTGTCACTGGCCACCCTCCAGAAAAAGGCACAGCACTCAAGGTCTTTGGCAGACGTCCTGCCACTGCTCTGAACGTTGTACTCTGAGAACAGCCACAGCGCTGAATACACACCTGAAATCACAGCTTTCTCAGCCTGAACTATTTCCCCACCCCAGACCTCCTGGACCTGCCGGAAGGCTGAATTGCCCCATCTCCTCCATCTATTTTGCTTATTACATTATGTAGCATTTTTTTAATAGACCTGTTTTTCTCCTATTAAGCAGTAAGTTTTTTGAGGATAGGAATGATGGTTTATTCATCTCTATAAGACCAGAATCTAGCGCAATGTCAGACACATGAAAAGAGCTCAACGTGTTTTGTTGAATTCCACTGCGAAGAGGCAATACTTAAAGGTCCTTAGATCCATCCTGGCTTATACTTCTAGTGGCCTAGATGACTGTCATGATTCTACAGCAGGAATAACTAAAATCAGTATTTTAAAAGATAGGAGGTAGCATTCAGGGACTAGTTCAGTGAGGTTTCAGAGAAAGTTTGTTGAGTAGAGGTCAGAATACAGTTGGGGCTCAATTCAGGTATAAGACTCAGAGAAAAACAAAGAAAAGCCTTGACATCTGCTATGACCAGGAAGCCAAGAGACAGCCAGTATCATCAAAATCGGCCCTGCTCTTTAGTTCTACACTGTGCACTCCAGCAGGCAAGCCTGCTTGCCTTCTTTCTAAAGGCCCTCCTCTCAGTGTAGGCTGGCCTTGCCTGTATCTGGTCTCAACAGGAAGCATGTTTGAAAAAAACCACGAGATAAGAGCGCCTTGTTTATTGTGCCAGTGCTCAAGTGGTTTCTAGTTCCTTACCTTGCCTTAACGTAGACACTCTGCCTCCTACATACTTACCTGTCCTTTCTGCCCACATTCCCTTGACTGTCTACCATGACAAACTCCAGGCCAGACCTGCTTCCACTATTCTTTTTTAGCCTCCCAGTCACCTGAAGTTGTCTGCCTGAAAATATGGCTGCCCACAATTTCTCTCATCTCTGAACACACACGCCACTCCTCCCCACAGGAGGTGGAATCTGCTGATTTGTCCACCCTTTGAATCTGGGCTGATGTGAATCACTTTGACCAACAGAATGGAGCAGAAGTGACACTGTGCAAGTTTCAGGCCTAGCCCTTACAAGGTCCTACCTACATGCTATACAGAAGTCCCTATCCTGCCAGGGAGAGGGCATATGGAGGACCAAGGTGCCCCAGCCAATAATCAGCACCAAGGCCCTTGGCCTACGAGCGAGGTGTTGGATCTGCCAGCCCTATTGTCAGCTTAGTGAAGCTGCAAAAGTAATAGCCAACCTCGCTAATAGCAAGGGCAGAAGAATCATCCGGACAACCCATAAAATTGTGAGAAATGATAGTTACTGTATTTAGCTACTATGTTTTGAATATTGTTATGCAGCAACAGAGAACTTGATGCAAGAGTTCCCTTCCCATTGCCATGATCCGCTATTGCCCTGGCCCCACTGTGATTTAAAAAGAGGAACAAGCGATAGCTACACAAGCATAATCATTGTACTTAGATTAGCCAGTGCAGATTAATGATGCAGTGTGCTTTTAGCTCAGGTACCCCTCTATAGTTTGTTCACTGAGGTTACTTGAGTTAGTAATAGGTAACTGAGGCTGTGTTGTGCTGGTTCTCAATTTCCAAAATTAAGGATTTTAGAAAATGCTTCCCTTTTAAACCACAAACCAGTCTCTCTCCCTTACAATTTCCCTCTATATTGTCATCCACAGTGTCATTATAACATGTCATTTCTCTTCAAGAGTTTTTGCTGCTATCAGGATAACATTCAGATTTCTGAGCATGGAGTTTCCATTGGGTGGTGGACGGGAAATGCCCTGTGAACTTTCTTTCATTTGGGAGTGCCTGTTCAGGCACAAACCAACAATCAAATCCTGCCACAATAGTCAGAAAATGCTCAATTCTTACTCTCTGAAGTATTTACAGAGGGAAATGATGTGATATGTGGGATTTGTTCTAAAAATACTATAGCAAAAAAAAAAGGGTGGAGGGTGGGGATAGATGAAATAAAGTTGACTGAATATTGATAACTGTTGAATCTGATCCATGATTATGGGTTTAGGGGTCTTTGTGCTATTGTTTCTCTTTTCAAGTATGTCTAAAAAAATGCATAATTAAGACTTTAAAAAAATTCATGGCTTAATAATAATTGCTTAAAATATCAACTAAGGTTTGAAAAGTCTCTTACAGAGAGGTTATAATGGGATAGGACCTTAAAACAAAAGAATGATTTACACTTTTGTAGGAAATTTTAACAAGAACATTCTGGAGCCTAATAATGAATGATATGAATCAAAGAACAGTTCTGGCCCAAGGGTTTTTAATGAGGATCCAAAGGTCCCTAAAGATCCATGAAGGGGCTTTTAGGAGGTTAATAACCTGTACAATTTTTGGTTATACATGCCAATGTGTATCTCTCTGGGGAGATAGTCCAAAGCTTACATCAAATTTACTAAGGAATTGATAACTACCACCCCCCCCCCCAATAACTTAATACATATTAAGCATATTTTCATGGTTAGAAATAGTTTTCAAATAGAAGACTATTTAATTATGAGTTAAAGATGAGAAAAAAGCGCTTTGAAGCAGTCTGACTTGACAGCTCGGGTGTGACTCGGACTGAGTACAGGTAACCGGGAGTCTGGCCGGCCCGAGAGGTGCACCAGGAGCAGCCGGGGCCAGCTTTCCTTCACATTTCTAAACCCAGAGCATACCAGGTGTTTGTTTCCTTACTTATCAGGAATCCAGAGTCTAACCGTTCTGTCTCGTGAAGCAGACGCCAGTAAGTTTCCAAGTGGAGAAAACTGCACGCTGGTTACAACGTCCTTGTGACCCACGTATCTGAAAGCTCTAGCTTGTGGCTTGAAATTCCATAGCATGAGAAATGTATCCCAAGAAGCAGTAGCTATCAAGAAACAGAAGAATAAAAACAGTTTGTTAAAACGTAACACGTAGACATGTCTCGTTACAATGGGCAGCATATCTAATAACAAGATGTCCAGGTAATAGAGGGGCTGAAGGTTGAAAGGCTGACCAGGTAACGGCAAAAATATTTTTAACAGAAACGGAAAGCTACGCCATGAATATGCAAGCGTGGCTGTGTCCCTGCCCCTGTGTTGGGTTAGAGCTCAATGACTATTTACTAGAAGAACGCAGCACAGCATAGCAGAGAACACAGCACAGCATAACAGAGAACACAAGACTAGGAGTCAGTGCTGTCTCCAACTTCCAGGGTTACTGATGAAGGTTACTTAACCTCTCTGTCATGAAGACTGAATGGTTTTCTGGAGAGGGCTGGATGAGAAGATTCTTTTAAAACTGTTTTGGTTTTTTTGTGTGTGTGGAAATAATTTCACATTTATAAAAAGTTACAAGAATATAAAGAACATTAAATACAAACTACCAGATCCACCTCTTGTTAATATTTTGACACATCCTATATAATAAAAGCCTAATATGCTAAGTGTCCGGTCCTCCGGTCTGAGGTTCAACCAATCAAAGTGTAATATGCTAATGATATGCTAAGGCCGCTCAACCGCTCTCTATGATGTGCACTGACAACCAGGGGGCATATGCTCCGACTGGTAGGGTTAGCTTGCTGCTGGGGTCCAGCCAATTGGGACTGAGTGAGACGGGCCGAACACACCCTGGAGCCCTCCCGTGGTCCCTCCCCAGCTGGCCAACCTCCTGCATCCCTCCCCAGCCCCCACTGTGCACCGGTGGGGTCCCTCGGCCTGGCCTGCGCCCTCTCACAATCCGGGACCCCTCAGGGGATGTCAGAGAGCTGGTTTCAGCCCAATCCCACAGGCCAGGCTGAGGGACCCTATTGGTGCACGAATTCATGCACTGGGCCTCTAGTTTCGTTTATAATTTGTGTTCTCTCTCTCTCTCTCTCTCTCTCTCTCTCTCTCTCCCTCTCTCTCTCTCTCTACTCAAGTATGCACACAAATACAGGTTTTTTTCCCCCGAACCATTTGGGAGTAAGTATATACATCATCATGGCACTTTGATTCCTAAATACTTCAGTGTGTTTTTCTAAGAATAAGGGTATTCTCTTACATAGCACAGTTATCAACTTCAGGAAATTTATTATTGACAATACTTTAATTTACCAACTATATTCCAATTTTGTCAGTTGACCCACTAATGTCTTTTTTTTTCTCCCATCACCATTTATACCCTCTATGGCAGTGGTTCTCAACCTGTGGGTCTCGACCCCTTTGGCGGATGAACGACCCTTTCACAGGGGTCTCCTAAGACCATCCTGCATATCAGATACTTACATTACGATTCATAACAGTAGCAAAATTACAGTTATGAAGTAGCAACGAAAATAATTTTATGGTTGGGGGGTCACAACATGAGGAACTGTATTTAAAGGGCCAGAAGAACCACTGCTCTATGGCCTCTTCCACGTCCACCCCGCCCCCCCACCACACCTGCAATCACCAGGTGAGGATATGTAGAGAGAGAGGGAGGGAGGGAGGGACAGAGAGAGAGAGACATTGATGTGAAAGAGAAACATTGATCAGTCACCTCCCATGAGCACCTTAACCAGGGATAAAACCTGCAACCTATGCGGGCACACCCCCAGTAGGAGATGTGCAGGAGGCAGCTGATCGATGTTTCTCTCTCATCGATGTTTCTAACTCTCTATCTCTCTCCCTTCCTCTCTGTAAAAAATCAATAAAATATATTTAAAAAAAAAAAAAAAAACAACCTGCAACCTAGGTATGTGCCCTGACCAGGAATCGAACCCGCTACCTTTTGGTACATGGGACGACTCTCCAACCAACTGAGCCACCCAACCAGGGCCCTTGATGTCTTTTATAGCTAGACAAGATTAAGTTTAAAGTCTCTTTCTGCTCTGTTAGTTTATGACATTCTACTATTAATAAAAGAATTATGTGTCAGACATTACCTTACGGCTTTAGGAAAAGGAAAACAAATGCAATCAATGGTGGAACTAGATGCCTTAGACAAAGAATGAACAAATAGCCTTGGCCGGGTGGCTCAGTTGGCTGGAGCATTGTCTTGTGCACCAAGAAACAGTTGGGGTTCAATTCCTAGTCAGGGCACATACCTAGATTGTGGGTTTGATCCCTAGTGTGTTTGAGTAAGGGAGGCAACCAATCAATATTCCTCTCTCATCGATGTTTCTCCCTCTCTCTCTAAAATTAATAAAAACATATCCTTGGGTGAGGATTTTAAAAAAAAAAAGAAGGAACAAATAAACAAATGAAAGTTTGGTCTAACTCTTGGTCCAAAACTAAATTTTACATATACATGTAACCCCCCAAATAGCCCCAACAATAGCAACCAGCTCAATGAGCATCACTAAGTCTAGACTGTAGAATGCTTAGAAAAAAATGCAACTTTATAAAATTTAGATGCAATTAATATTATTGCAGATGGAATATATAAAGTCACTAAAAACCTTCTAAATTCTTTAGCTGCAGATAAAATTCATTTGGGCTTACTTAGCCTATGCATTGCTTTCATGTAAGACATAAAATAATTAAAGTGACTTTATAAGTTTCAAACTGTAATGCTGTCTACTATTCCCTTTTTAAAAAGTACAAAGAGTTGATCTTCCACCACAGCTCATCAAATTATTAAATATTTATATCAGGGTCTGAATTATCTGAGGCAAATGTAGACAAAATAGGGAAAACAATGACTTATACGCTTTATACTTAGGGCCCTATTTGAGTTCTAGTGTATTATGTTGCAAATAAGATTTACAAAAGGAAAATAGGACACAATCCTCAAGGAATCACAATATTGTAGGGGAGAAAGTTCATTAGTAATATCATACATGTTCAAAGGACTTTTATATATTATTCAGTCTTAATATTATAAGAGGTGGGTAGTGGTCCTTTCCAAGGAAAGGACACATGAGCAGACATTTGAGTGAAAGGAGGTGTGATCTGGGCTAAGAAATGGAGAAAGAGCACACTGGGCAGAAGACACCCCACGTGTAAGGGCCTGATACAATAATGCACTTGAAGACCAAGGAGCAGTAAGGAGGCCAGGGTGTCCACAATAGAGGGGAGGAAAAGAGAACATTGAGATGAAAGCAGAGAAGCAAGCAAGATGCCAGCCAAGGAGCCATGGTAACAGGTGTACTATTATATTTGTCCTAAGTGCAAGGGGAAACCATTGAAGGATTTTAAGCAGAGAGATCTCATGAACTGATCTAAGAAAATTGCCTCTCTGACAATGAGAAAAAGATGGTCTTTTCAAAAAATAGTGTTGGGTCAACTGGATATATATATTTTTAAGTAACTTGATTCCTACATTTTATGCTATCCATATGGCAAAGAAAAAAAATCATTTAAATGTGATTTAAATGTGATAGGTAAAACAATAAGCTTTTAGATAAGAACATAGGAGAGTATTTCCATGGCCGTTTTGATAGTCAAATATTACTTAAACAGGACATGAAAATTACTAAATTACTAAAGGAAAAGAATAATAATTGGTACTACACTAAATTAAGAAATTTTGCTGATGGAAGAATACCACTAAGTAACTGAAAAGGCAGGCCACAGAGTGGAAGAAGATATTTACAATACATACAGCCAACATCTAACAAAGAATCTATAAAGATTCCTACAAATCAATTAGAAAAGGCAGGAATACAGGCAAACAGCTTAAATAGGCACTTCATTAAAGAAAATATCCAAATGGCCAATAAACATAAAAGGTACTCAATTCCATTAGTCACCAGAAAAAATGCAAATTAAAACCCCAGTGAGATATTACTACACACTCATCAGAATAGCTATAATAATAATAATTTTAAAAAAGCAATACCAAATCTTGGTGAAGATGTGACAATTGGAACTCTCATATAATGCTGATGGTTATAACCACTTAGAAAAATTGTTTTTGAAATATCTACTAAAGCTGAATATACACTTACCATCTGATCCAGCAATTCCACTCCTAGGTACATGCCTGACAGAAACTCTTATATAATACTAGTGGCCCAGTGCATGGATTCGTGCACACTGACAGGAAATTAATTAGAAGATGGCCTGTGGGGCGGGACTAGGCAAGACGGGCCCGGACACGCCCTAGAGCCAACCTCCAGCGGTCCCTCCCCAGCCGCAGTACCTGGGCAGTACCTGGGGCAGCACCGTGCCTCGAAGGGCATCTGTGGTCACCGAATCTCAGCAGTAAACCAGAATCAGGGCTGACAGTGCCCCAGCAACAACGTAACCCACAGGCAAAGGTGGAATCACGTGATCCCGCAAAGAATCATGATCCCTCCTCTGGTTCCAGGGTGCGTTACCCGAGAATAGCTGCTGCCAAGTCACTGCAGCTCAGCAGCTCCTGTGTTAAGCATCTGCCCCCTAGTGGTCAGTGCACGTCATACCTACTGGCCCGTCGGACGATCGGGCGGTTGCTTAGCCTTTTATATGTATAGAAGATACGTTTAGCAAAAGACGTACAATAATGTTTGTGGTAGTACTATTAAAAATAGACCAAAACTAGAAACTCAAATATCCATCAAAGTAAAATGGATATATAAATTGTGATACATTGACACTATGTACCTGCTGTGTAATTAAAGTTCATTATTAAAGTTCAAGAAGTAGTAAACTGATCTATGGAGTCAGAAGTCCGCATAAAGATTATTTGAGTGGCAGGAAGGGAGGACAGTAGCTGGAAGGGAACACAATGGGGGCCTCTGAGGATACGGTAGTGTTGTGTCTCTTCTCTGGGTGTTGCTGTTGCAATAATCGAGTCAGGGGAAGGTGGTGGTGGAAGGGGAAGGTACAAGGTCAAGGTGGAGCCTATGAGGCTTGCTGATGGATTAGATGTGAGGGAGAAGCAAAGAGAAGCAGCAAAGATACCAGGCTTCTGGCCTGGCCACCCAGGTAAATTTCAGAGCCA